TACCAAAAGAGTGTCAGAAAACGATTGTTCGATTTCACTTTCGATCATTCTTCGTTTCGATCCAGTCACACGACTCTCTCGTCGCATACCTGCCGCTCGGAGGACCGTGGATCGTCTGTGTCAGGCTCACGCGACCGGTAACACGTGAGAAATAAACGATTGAAGGCGTCGGTGAACGTTGTTTTATCCGGGCAATCGATGGAACGCGGGTCAGAATCACGGCGAAGACGCTAAGGTGAAGGTCTAGGGTACTTCGGCGAGGCTACGAGGCCAGATTTATAATAGATGCACATGGCGTGCTGCCAACGGCGAGGCGCCACAATATTGCCGCTTAGTCACCTCAGCCAGGCCTTCTCTTTGTCCTGCTCCTCTGCAACGTAATAAATAAGAGAAACGACCACGGGAAAACTGAATATTTATGAGGGAATTCGGTGGCTTCCTCGCTCCCCCTTCTTTCGTTCCTCTCTGCTGTCCCTCTCCCGATCCAACCCTGCGTTTTTCTCTTCTTTTTACCACGTGTTCCCACCGATACCCGACCATTATTCTGATAACTATATCTAGCCTCGCTCTGATACACCGCGACGACGTGATTAGCAATTTCAATGGAGATCTTACCGGTGACTTTTCTTATTTCGTCATACTGGACGTCTTCTTCTAGCCTCTCTGCTCGACGACTGTTTCGAACTTGGATCGTTTAGGCTGCTAATTGGACAATTGCGGAATTTACACGATATAGTAGAAACTGGACAATTAAAAATAGGAATACCGGCAATAGAGTTGATCCAATATTCCACGGAAGGCTTCTAAAATTTCCGACTGAGATTTCGAAAATTTTCAAACTCAGTTGCCAAAGCGACGTACGGGCCACCCGGTAGATATCGTAGAACGAGAAAACTGCAAGATTAGCTTATAAAAACAAATCGATTCTTTCGCGTGAATTCGCACAGCGTTCGACTGAACTCCAAACTATTAAGATTCTGACGGTGTATATCGGAGAAAATTTCGCGCGCTAAACGCGACCCCGTAATTCGTTTCCGTGGTATCTGCCCGGAGGGAATTACGCGACGCTAATTATCGAACGGCGCTCGGTACGGCGAATGGGGTATCGGACGGCGCCAGACAATTAGCTTGGTAAATTCCGCGAAGAAGTTCGCCAGGACGCGACACGGGAACGAGCAGACGACGGTACCGAGGGGCTGAGGAAAACGACGGAGGAGAAAGGGGGAGAGAGAGAGAGAAAAGGAAGAGCTAAAGCACGGCCGAGTTAACTTTAATTGCCCGGTTGGCTACATAATAAATGACATTGCAGACGGCCAAGCGGAGGAAAAATTGTTTCGTCCTCCGCCTCCTACACCCATCCAACCCTTTCCCCCCTTCTCGTTCCTCGTTCCCTCTGCTTTCATCCAGCCTGTTCGCCAGCGGAACGATTTCTGCGCCCCGTAGCTTCAGGAAACCGGGACATATTGATGGCTGTGTAATCTTATTTTCAACGGTACATTCATCTTGGACGCGTCACTTTCGACGCTGGTACGTTCTTTCCGCGGGGATTTATTATCGGGATTAAATCTTCGTCGTCGATGTCTTTCGCGAATAAAATCGGCTACCCAATTGCAACGTCTTCTTCCTTTTCTTTTTTTTTTTTTATTCTCTCCTAGGTGAATATCGATGGTGTGTAGGTATGCTCCTACGAAATTCCAGTCACCAACGGAGATTTATCTACGAATTTTCCTGACAGACTGGACACTACGATCGTTTATCTTGGTTCGTTCGGTACAGTTACGAGGCTGCTCGAACATGTTCCTCCTCGCCGACACGTTCCGACCGCAGGTGCCAATGAACCTAATTAGCGGGGCCACTTAACAATCTCGCAAACAGGACCACGGGGACAAAGGAAGATCTCTTTGTGGATCGTTCTTTTCACGTGGAAAAATACCTTGCCTCGTTACGCTCGATTTAGTTGGGGGATGTTTTTCTTACGTTGGATTTATATTGTAATAAATATCAATATTGAGAAGAAGGCGTTTGTCTGTTCTCGAGAAATTAAAAGACGTACAAAGGAGGGTATTATTTTTTTATTCACTAGGAGGGAGGGGGAGATCCATAATCGCGTCGATTATTTTTACTGCTTAAGAATATGCGAGTTTATTGGTTCAGAGTGTTTCGTGAGCTTCACACATGAGTCCATCGTCCTCAAAGAGATAACGATATATCGTTTACGCTCCCGTACAGCGCGACTTTTCGCGTGGTCGACGACACGAGCCGACTTCCGGCGGATCGACTTTCCTTCCGCGGATTTTTCTTCGCTTTTCCGCTTTAAGAACGCGCGAGCTGGATGCCGAACAAGCGGCGCTTAAAGTACTTTCATAGCGGGACGACTAATTAGAGCGATTTAGCGTCCGTCGTCGACGTTTATTTGGAATGCAAATGCAGACTTCTACCAACCCTTCTCCACTGTTCGCTGAGACTCTCTCTCTCTCTCTCGTTCTTTCGGTCTCCTTTCGTTTTCTCGTTGCTCTTTCCACACCGGCCCTTTTCTCCCCTTTTTCTCTCTCGCTCTCTCTCCTCTAGTTTTTCCCGCCTTTCCTTCCGCCTCTCTGTTCTCCACGTCGCTTTGCTCTCGCTTCCGCTATTCGTTCTGCCTATTGTTCCCCCTTTTCCTCTGTTCTCCGCTCTGTTCACTCTGTCCCCTGTTCTTCTCGCGCCCCTTTCTTCCCCTCGTGTGTTCCTCGCTCGATGCATTATTTTCGAATTTTTTAAGACCCCAGTTGGAGCACCTTCTTAACCCTAAAACGCGGATTTTCGGTTGGGTTCGCTGGACTTTCGTGTCTGGAACTCCTAGTGTTTCGTACGTTCGGAGTTCCCGTTTAACGGGGTTGTTGGAATGTAGGGCTTATCGACTAGTGGAGAACATTTGGCTAACTTTCACCCTATCGCGTATCGAACTCGCCTTATGAGTTTCTGCGAAACAATCGTGGACCAAGGATCTATACATTTCCTACATGAAAATTATTATCGTGTAAAGTTTCTCTTTTTGAGCGAAGAAAATTTCAAAAATTTTCATCCTTAGAATTGTCTTAGAATTTCCATAGTTTAATTATATCAAATATAAATTACATACTTTTCACAACGATAGTATCTGTACCCTCGATACCAAACCTAAAAAATACTTTCACTAATACATATACTACAACAAAAGCTCCCTTATCCACAGCTTCGAACGAAATCTAATCCCAAACCGTATTCCACTGTAAATCTCGAATTTCCATCTCGAAGAGCGAGCTACTAAAATTACCATAAAATCAGCCCTTCTACCGTGCGCCATCAGAAAGCTGAACCTTTTATTCCGTTTCTCGAGGCGACAATCAAAGCAAAAGAAAGGGTGAAAATGCATCGGTACAAGGGACAATCGTTTTCTCCTTAGCAAGGGTTGCCTTCTCGTGGCAAACGTTGCAACGAGCGTTTTCCGCGCCGGGATGCTTTCGACCGCGAAGAGGCAGAGTGACTTAAGTAGTGGTAAAAGGGGGGAACAGTCGATGGAGGGGCGTTGCGACGCTTGAATGGGGGGGTAATCGAATGAATGGAAAGCGCGACTGGATGCTTTCGCGTCGTCAGGGACGGTCTGAAAGGGATGTTAGGTGTTGTTTAAGGGTTATTGTTGCGGCTCTTTTGTCCCGTGGGTTGTTCGCGAGAGGCAGTCTGCCCCGGCCCCCGGCGTTTCTTCCAACCGGCTCGAATGTAATTTATCGGAGCGGAAAAAGGGGCGCGTGTTATCACGACCAGCGTCGTCGCCGCCGCGGCGCGCGAGCTTTTATTGCGACGCGTCGACCGGGAGATTCGCGGGCCAATATCCTTTGTGCCCGTCGATTTTTTTTTCGGTTAAACAGAGGGTGTACTGTGAATCTTGTTACACGTGTAACCGGAAGACATAATTCGCGAGCTGTGTTACAATTGAAATGCGCCAGATACGTGTTTTCCTTGGGAAAAATCGAAGCGTAAACGGTAAGAGCGGGTGAATGGTAAAATAACGAGGTGTAATTGAGCGAAATGTCGTGTCAGGTTAACGGTGGAACAACTGGAGCTGAATGTAGTGCGTTTGGGTACTCGAGAAAGTAAATTGATTTAGAGAAAAGAATGTCAATAATTTATGAATTAAAAAGTCTGAGATTCGTCATGAGGAACATTTGACAATTTGATAGTTTTCAGAGGATCACTTTGGAGAAGAAGGAATATTTGAAAAACAGTGGAAACTTTCAGGGATTTAATTGTAATTTATATCTACCGTATGTACATCGAATTCTATCAAATGAAAATTAGCCTGAAAACAAACTAAATATTTTTTGAAAAATTACAATCAACGATTCCACTATTTTATCTGAAAAAAACCTCTATCAAACAAACGAGCAAAAAAAAAATAAATCCTGCACTCCCAAGTGCAGTCCTGTTATTCAAAACAGTTCTAATTGAGTTTCTACTTCTAACCGATATCCATGCATAATTCAACAACGTACATAAAAAAATTACGAATGAACGTTCACTCAGTCGAAACTATTAACATCAATTCTCCAATAAAAACCAACGGGAAAAAATATCGCGGAATAAAAAGTTGAACGTTTTTATCGTGCAACTTTCCACGACCTCTTTTTTCCTCGGGCGCATCCGCAATTGTACCTCGACTTTTTAAACAAAACTACACACTCGTCTACCCATTTTCTTCCTCTTTTCCTCGATACACTGATCCCTCCAGCTTCCCGCGTTGCGCGAAGCTTCGCACAGATTAAGGAGAAACTCTTCTCTCGACGTACTTACGAAAACCGAGAGAAAAGGAAGGATCCAAAATTATCGCGCGCATTACGCGCGTTACGAAGTTTCTGTTTTAAGCTCGCGAAAGTGGCCTCCTACCGTCTCCCTTTTCCCCTCTTCGCTAATATCTACGTGTCGAGTATTATCGTGCACGCTTCGAGGGAACTTCACATGTGCGTGTTTTCTTTTTTTTCTTGCAGAAAATATGTGTCTTCCAAAAGACGCTGGAGGATCTGTCGTCGCGGATGGCCGGCGCCGAGGCGATCCAGAGCGGCTGGCAGAATCCGAGCGACACGAGCGAGGCGGCGGAATTGCTGAAGCAACTGGAGAAATTCGGCGAAAGACTCCTGCCCATACAGAGGAGCATCGAGTACGCGAACGATCAGGCGAGCGTGTTCGCGTCGAGCAGCGTCATCGTTTCTCATGCTTTGCGGGCGAAACTCGAAGATCTCAACACCAGGTACGTTATCAAGCCTTTCGAGAAATTTACCACTCCGATACGCGGCGTAACGTACGATTATTCGCGGAGGAATTTGAATCTCGCGAGAAACGCTCGAATGGATCTCTCTCTCTCTCTCTGTCGTACTTTTTTAACCGAAACAACGAACATCTTTTGTTGTTGCGATTTTATAGAAGTCTTGCGCAACGTATGATTATTCGCTAATATATGAAAATCGAAATGGATTTGTTTCCCTTGAATTCTTTCACGATACAATAATAGGCTTTTCGTGTTCTTATCGCAAGAAGAAAGCTTGCACTTGCAACAGAGCTATTGTCTCGATGGAAGAAAGTGGATCTAGAGGCGTTTAGGCGTTGTTTCTGTAGAGTTAACGTTACAAATGTTAGAGCAACGTCATCGAAAATTAAATACCGATCGAGATAACGCTTGCTTAAACATGATAATAAATTAGATATCGGCAGTCCGTTTGCCTCGTATTCCGCAGTTCAGTGCGCTTAACTCCAGCACGGTGCATTCGTGACATAAAACGTGAAACTTCTTGCACGTTCTACGGTTCCAACGGCGACCTCGATATACCGCGGGCCTGCAGCTTCGCGTGCAATATAATGAGGAGAATTTACTTAATACTCGCAAGGTGTACAATTCTAAAGAGAAAGAACAAAACGAAAAAGAGAAAACAAATACACCATCTGCAACTTTTCAAATCCTCTCGACGCGTACACACGTTTAACATAAGCCTTTGAAGAACCGGCGTGTACACCCCGTTTAGCTTGCCTAACGAAACAAATGTTCAACGGACACACTCGCGCCATTTCTACATTCTCTCGTTATAATGTGACACAATCCTCTGTTATGCAACATCGGTACACGAACTTATCGCTCCAGTTACCCAAATAACGCAACATTTTCGTCTCGCGGAGAACCTCTCTACTGAAAGAATCCAGAAAGGGGCAGGAAAGTTTTTCGCAGCTGTGCAACTCGAAGAAAACCGAAGAGAGATCTTCTTCTTCTTTCTCCGCGATTCACTTTCCTTCGAGCTACTCGAGTTTACTCACGGGATCTTCCGCGAGGTCGCTTATTTTCCTCCGCTCCTGTCCGCGTAAGGAAACGCTAAGTTTTTCGCGTGTTTTCGCAGGTGGAAGGTGCTGCAAGTGGCGGTTGACGAGCGTTACAAGTTGCTAAGCGGATTTGGAAAGGATGGCAGCACTCCGAGTAGCCAGGCTTTCCTCGAGAGCAGCGTGGAACCACCATGGGAGAGAGCCCTCACACCCGCCAAAGTGCCTTACTATATCAAGTAATCGATCTTCCTTAACTAACGGAACCAAGAGCGTCCTCCTCCTCCTCCCTCCTCCCCCGTTAAATTTACGATGGTGTGTTCTCCAACGCGCCGCGCGACCGAGCTGGCTAGATCTTGATGGCAAACAAACGAATAATTGATGAGACAATTGTGATTCAAGGGAACAAGAAGTTCGCCACTATCGTTCGATGGGGAATGATCGAGCCGCGGGGATATTTAGTCGGCGGGGGCGTGCTTGCAAATGGATGAAACGATAGAAATTGCAATTTAGATGGACCATCGGATCCGAACGAACTCGCACTCTAGCCGTGAAATGTCTCATCTTGATAGAGAGAAAAATGTAAAATAGTGTCCGTGGTAAATTTTTCAATAATTTTCTAAAATTGAACGTCTATGTTCGTTATAAGTGAAACACTCTCTATACTTGTTATGAGCGACAGAACGGTTGAAGGAGCTCCGTCCGGACTGCTCCACCTTGCGAGTCCCCAATCGAGAGTTAAAGCCGATTTTGGTTCGCCTCTGTATCCGGATGATCGCGGAGGACCAGCCCGGTCGAGCCCGGTGGATAAATTCTTAAAATCCTGGCCGGTGGTGGTGGCTCGAGCCAAGAATCGCGGCCGGATTTAATAAAGATTAAACAAAGTTCCTTCTCCCTCTCTTCTCTCGCGACTTTCCTAAGTTCTCGCGTTGCTCTGGATCCATGGCTCGTTACGCGGAAATTTCACGAATCTCTTAATCCGTTGGATCGGCCGAGGTCTTAATCCTGGACGAAACGTTTTGCAGCCATCAGTCGGAGACCACCCATTGGGATCATCCGAAAATGATAGAGCTGATGTCCTCTCTGGCGGACCTGAACGAAGTACGATTTTCCGCGTACAGAACAGCGATGAAGCTGCGCACCGTTCAGAAACGATTGTGCCGTGAGTATTTTGGCATAGACAGACTGTGCCAGTTGTATTTCGTTGAACGGTCGGTCCTCTTATACGGTGATTAGACCGCGTCTATCGTGCGTGTTCATTAATCGTCGTAATTTTCTCGATTAATCACGTGTGTCCCGGCTGCGATGACGCATTGCGTCGTTCTTTGTTGTTGATGGATTTGATCTTTTGCACGGTTCCGTTTTGTCTCGCGTATCCAGTGGTGCTCATCACTCGGAGATTCTCTTTCTGTCGTTTTCCAGGCTTATCTTGAAATCTTTCCTTTGACTTTTATTATCCTAAGCTGGAGCGTAAAAGTGTCATATATGTGAAGAACGACAGGATTTCCCCTCTACCGAATAGTTGAACTTTGTCGATACTTGAGCTCTGTGCAATCGTCGAATTTCTATTCCATTTACGTGCATCATTTCTGACTGTGTTTTACGCTTACAGTGGACGTGTTGAGTCTTTCCACCGCATTAGAGCAGTTCGATTCGCACGGGCTACGGGCGCAAAACGACAAACTAATCGACATTCCCGACATGGTGACAGTCCTGACGTCCCTGTACGAAGTGATAACGGGGGACAATCCGACGCAGGTGTCCGTCCCGTTGTGCATCGATTTGGCCATCAACTGGCTCCTCAACGTGTACGATAGGTGAGGCCCGCAGATCAATGATCGTTCGTTAATTAAATAAATCACGCTTCTCCGCTCCTTTGCCATCTGTCCGATGGAATGACGTGTTTCACGTTGACGTTTTAACGCTCGCCGACTGTTGCCCCACGTTGCTTTCCTTTTTTCAGCCAACGAACCGGTCAGATTCGCGTGCTCTCCTTCAAGGTTGGTCTGGTCCTGTTGTGCAAGGGTCATTTGGAAGAGAAATATCGATGTGAGTAGCGTACAGATTGAATTTCTGTCTGCCCTTACGTTCTTTCGAATCGAGAACTTGCGTTTTAAAGGAAGTTCCGTTGTTTCCAGATCTATTCCGGCTGATCGCGGATCCAAACAGGCTGGTGGATCAACGAAAGCTCGGTTTATTGTTGCACGACTGCATCCAAGTGCCGAGGCAGTTGGGAGAAGTGGCGGCTTTCGGCGGGTCGAACATCGAGCCGAGTGTCCGCAGCTGCTTCGAGAAGGCTGGAAAGGACAAAAATGAGATAGAGGCGGTGCACTTTTTGAGCTGGCTACAACAAGAGCCGCAGAGCATGGTCTGGCTGCCTGTGCTTCATAGACTCTCCGCCGCGGAGACCGCTAAGCATCAAGCGAAGTGTAACATATGCAAGGAGTATCCCATCACTGGATTTAGGTGTGCATTCAAGCTTTAAAAATCCTCGCAGCTTTCCTGATAAATTTGCGATAAAAATGATAACTATCTCGAGAATCTTTGTTTTGACTCTCCGTTCGCAACTTCGATACAACTTCAATAACCATGTTACTATCACCTCCAGGTATCGTTGCTTGAAATGCTTCAACTTCGACATGTGCCAGAACTGCTTCTTCTCTGGCCGTAAGGCGAAGAACCACAAGTTGACGCATCCGATGCAGGAGTATTGCACAGCGGTAAGCGTTTCTTCACCTACGTAGAATTATACCGCCTTCCCAGTGTTCGTAACGTCATAGTGTAACGCCCGTTTATCACACAGACCACATCTGGCGAAGACGTGCGCGACTTCACGAGAGCGCTACGGAATAAATTCAAGTCGAAGAGATACTTCAAGAAGCACCCAAGGGTCGGTTATCTGCCTGTGCAGACCGTTTTGGAAGGGGACGCGTTGGAGAGCCCTGCGCCGTCGCCGCAGCACAGCTCCCTCAGCCAGGACATGCACTCCCGTTTGGAGATGTACGCGTCCCGGCTGGCGGAAGTCGAGCTGTCGCGTACAAGAAGCAACTCGACGCCGGACAGCGACGACGAGCATCAGCTGATCGCCCATTATTGTCAGAGTTTGAACGGTGGGGACAACGTGAACGTGCCGAGAAGTCCGGTGCAGGTGATGGCTGCGATCGACGCCGAACAGAGGGAGGAGCTCGAGGCGATGATACGCGAGCTGGAAGAGGAGAACGCGACGCTGCAAGCGGAGTACGAACGATTGCGCTCGAAACAGACGCCTGGTTCGACGCCGGAAGACGGCCACGGCAACAGACAGCCTGACTGCGACATGATCGCCGAGGCGAAATTGTTGAGACAGCACAAGGGTAGATTAGAAGCGCGTATGCAGATACTGGAGGATCATAATCGTCAGCTGGAGGCGCAGCTGCAGAGACTCAGACAACTTTTGGACGAGGTGCGCTCGAGTTTTGTTACTTTTGCAACGATTCTACAAGCTGCTATGTACGGGGAGGGTAATTAAGATAGAGTTTGTAGGATGTTAGGAGCTTCTTGATATTTTTCGTAGTTTCTTTGTAAGCGAGGAGTGGTGGTCATTTTTCCTATTTTCTTGCAGCCAAACGCTTCCTCGCCATCGAAAACAGGGACGCTGCAGACGCGAAGCGTGACTGCATCTCAGCTGGCGACCGATTCGCCTGCTAAAATGAACGGGCACTATCACGATTCTCCAGGTATGTTAAGCGGAATGTAAAATAAGAAACGTCGAGTTTGCACTAGAATTTGACTGGTGGTAATAGTTGATTTAAGCGAACAGTAACGGTGAATCAAATTCCCATCATCATTTATACAAACATTACTCATCACAATTCCAGCCTCTGTTTCCTCTGGTTTTTTTTTTTTCTTTTTTTCTATATACATATAATTCGAACGACCATCAAACATAAATTGAAATCTTTTCTCATACTCATCCTATAAAAGGGGTTTAAACGATTTTCAATGCTGGCCTGTGTGTCATAGAGAGTGACACTCGTTATTCAAAATAAGTGGGCGCAGGGTATTTCTAGCGCTAGATACTAACTGCATATTAATGAGCGTTTCACAAAGTGCCGAAGAGATTAGCATAAAGCTTATTGGTATGGGTATATGGGCGTAGGTGGTGGAGGCTCGAACGAGGGAAGAGTGAGCAGTTTAGAGAGGCCACCACCGCCACCGCATTCTCACAGCGTTGCCCACAACGTGGGCAATCTCTTGCACATGGCAGGTTCGTTCCATTCTTCGACTACACGATTCGTACTATCATTCTTTATATATATATAGCGTAATAAAAAGAATACTGCTGTGTCGAACGTTTTCTCTTTATGCACGATCTCGTTTCTGCTTAACAATAACATTGCTTTCCTGTTTTTCACGCCACAGAATGGATGTAAGGTGAGACTATCAACGCTTCTTTTTCCGCTGGGTCTTCCTGTACGCGCTTGTTTTCTAAAAAAAAAAAAAAAAAGAGAAACGCGTCTAATCGTGTCGAATCGTTTGTCCTTTAATACTGTCGTGTACGATTTGCTGAAGTAAAGAAGTTTGTTATCTCTTTCGATGCTTGGCTGTACCGGGTGAAATATTGAAAAGGGTACGCTTAAGTATTTCTGCTTTTGGAAATGTTAAAAGCCTCCGTATTTTCCCTTAAGGTTGCTAAGAAACAACGATATCTCTATGTTTTCGAAAGTAGTAGATTTTTAGATACCTCACCCTCTATACAAAGCATATTATCTATACTGTCATCTCTAATGTCTGCTCGTTGCTTTTGTCTCTACGAGTCTTGTTTTATTAACTGACAATATCCACGCACCAGATACTGTAACCGTCGTTCACGTATGCGTGCATGTTGTCGATTGATGCGCACAAACGTCTATATGTGAAATAACAATGCCTACATGTATTCAACGATAAGTGATATATACCCTGTTGTATAAAATAGATAATACTAGCTGAAGTAAAGAGCGGTACATTGACCAGTGCAACGAATACAACTGAAAAACTTCTATTTTAGGAGACTTAGGGAAAGCAGTCGGTGAACTGGTGACAGTGATGACCAGCGAGGACTCGTCAAAAACGAACGGACAGAGGGCACCACCGCCGGCATTCAAATAACGACTATTATCGCGACACTGTTTCACAACACTGTCTTGCGTTTCAACGATATCGACGGACACGTCACGACGAAGAAAACGAAATCGATTCGATCGATACCGCACATATACATAAAAATCACTACGCGATCCACGAACCTTCGAACGTTTCAAATCAATGACCAATAAGAAGTCTGGCTCTAAACGCATATCAAAGAAGACGGTGTATCACGCGCGCGCGCAAAAGAAGAAGAAAAAAAGAATAAAATGCAGGGTCAGGGGCGTCGCCATAGTGGTTTTGGGTATTTTATAAGTTTTGATATACACCGTTGTATAGCTAAATTATATGGAATAAGATGATTATGGTTTTTGGCTTTGGCGGGCCCCTGAGTGTAACTTTACTACATATTGACACGTCATATCATTGAAAGAAAAGTAACATAATCGTGCGAGAAGAAGAAGAAGAAAACGAAGGGGGGGAAAAAAAGAAACGAATCAGTTTGTTGTATGCTTGCTAGTTTGAAGAGAGGAAGAAGATAAACAAATACGGGAAAAAAAGTTGAAACGAAGAGGAAGTTGACGACGATGAAATGTAATGGTTATAAGAGAATTACACGAAAGGAAATATCATTAACAATGCATGCAAAAGCAATGTATCAAATCACGTACTCTATTCTAGATCGTAGGTTATATTTACATACCCATTCTGTTCACTGCCACGGGCTCTTCCTCGACATTAAATAACATACACGATGTACATGTTATATGATGTGATTCTAGACGACACGTTGAAAAGCAAAAACGAAAAGAAATGGGGAATCTTAGATGGATGATGAAGAAATATAATAGAATGAAGTGACGAGAAGTGAGGAAGGTACGAAAGGGAAATTCATATACCTGGCATCATTCCGTATTTCCATAAATCCGGAATTTTGCATCGACACACGTTGACACACACGAACACACGTACTACGTGGATACATGAGACACACACGTTACAGGACACGTTACACGCTGAGGACTTTTTGTAATCGATAATAAAAGCAAAGCAATGTGCATTATGACTTTCAAATTTATTTTTTATCCGGTTACGATCGTTTTTTCATATTTTTTAATGGATTTTAGATGGCAATGTCTCTTATTTAAGCCTGCCGGATGTTACTTATATTTAAGAGTATATCGATAAGCATCTAATTTACAAACTGTAGGCTGTATTCTGATATGTAATAAAGTTGTCTAGAAAATAATCCCCTCTCCTCTGTGTATGTTTTTCATTACAGTAATCGCACTTCTTCTCTTTCTTTTTTGCTACCTCTCTACAGCGAGGTGTCTCGTCGGAAATAAAAAGGAGACCAGCTGGCTCGATGGAAACACATCAAAGAAATAATCGTTTCTCATGGTAGAAAGAACGCGAACCTCGAGTAAATGCTTGCGATAGCGATAATTGAAGCTCGAATTGGATCAGGTAGAATTAATTATTGGCAGGTTGATCGATCAGCTCGAACAAAACCGAATTTATTCACCATCAGACCATCGAGATCGCAAGGACGTTACCTTGACTGGTCTCCATTCGATCCGGTTTTAATCATCCTTCGATGGAAACCGTAAGTGAATCGACAAGAAAGAAAGGATCGGGTGGTCAACCGTGATTGCACTCGGTATGCGTGACGCTGCGGTAAAACGTCGGAAAGACGATACCATACTTAAAAATAATACAAAACCTATCTTATCGTTCTCTTACCAGAAAAATCTACGTACATACAGGTCGGTTGAATGACAGTTTAACAAACAACGATCCAACGTCAAAAAAGCCCGACGAACCTCACGTTCCTCCCCCCACTATCTTGGATCAAATTCCAGTAGTATCAACACTTTCTGCCCAGATTGCAACACGTTCTCGCTTCGACATTTCTGCTGATCTGATACATACTTCACGGAAGAAAAAACGAACGTATATGTTTAACTTGGAAATTCATCAATCAACAATCAAATTAATTAATCGTTGATCTGGTAATTTCGTTTAACGTTAAACACACGGTATAAGAGAACGCGAGTCGATGTAATTAATCGTGTGCGTAAAAATTGTTTTACCAGGTCGAAGGCGAGAACTAATGGATATAAAAGCGATGGTTCGTCGTGAAAATTGCACGGTGAGGCGGTGCAAAGTCGCGCTCGTCAAATTAGCGAGCATTTGAGAAACACGCGAGGGGAGGTCTTTGCACTTAACGCTGGTTCTCGCGTGCGGCTAACGTGAGCACGTTACCTGTGTTGGTTGCACACAGGTAGGCACACAAGAAGCAAGATGCACTCTCAGGTAGTAGCATAGGTGGCCTCGACCTTGGTGCATCGCTCGACTGCACTGTGCATCGTCCCACGCAGTGGCGTAACGCCCAGGTGAGACTCGAATTTTTTTCTTACCTGCACACCCGACAAGGAAACTCGTATACGTGCAAATATTCCGCATTATTTCACTTGCAATCCTTCTCCGTGCAATTAACTCGAGACATGTGAAGTTCGTACGATGGTAAAAGTGTCTTTACATTGTGGAAACCTCTTTTTCGAATCTTCTCTTTATCTCTCTTAAGTTTCACCGAGCAGGTCTTGTATTCGTTCCGTGGCTGAACGGTTCTAGCCGGAATTAGCTACTTAACGATGTAGAAGTTCCTAAAATTCTTCGAACTGTAACGGAGCTCGGGTCACTTCGTATAGTTGAATTTTACGTTATTATTCGTCGATTTGACCGTTTTAACGAAATTCCCGGGGAAGTACTTACATGTTTTTAAATCTGAGATAAAGTTCGTTATCTTCGGAGAACTATGGCAAATCCTCGCACTTTTACAAAATTCTTTGGACAGTAATGGAGCTCGGATCATTTTGTATAATTTAGAAGAAATTAAGTAGCTAACAACGTGGAAGTTCTACGAGCTAGTTATAATTTTACAAAATTCGTTGAACAGTAATGGAGCTCGGATCATTTCGTATAATTAAAAAATAAATGAAGTAGCTAATAATGTAGAAGTTCTACGAGCTCGTGACACTTTTACAAAATTCTTTGAACAGTATCGGAGCTCGGATCGCTTAGTGTAGTTAAAAATTCATTCTAAGGACTTATTCGTCGGTTTTACCGTTCCACTGAAATTCCCAAGAAGGTAGACATCTACAAATCCCCGACAAACTTCTTCAACTTCGGAGGACTGGCGAACCGCTCGGCGCGAAGATAAACCGCCGTTGAAGTTGTACGAGCTCGTGGTGCTTTTACAAATCATATACTCGCCGGTGTTCGAGTACAGTCGATTGAGTCATCGATACGTGACACGTATACGAAAATACGTAAGCAGAAATTTTAGTGTACGGTAAGATCGGCGAAGGCCGCTGCGCGTAATCGTTCCCTACTGTGGCACGTTTCCATTGAACCTCGGATAACCATACGGACAGATTTTCCACTGAAATTTCTACGTTCAGAGTATGGTATTTCTGCATAAACGGAAGGACCCGAGATTCAGCAAGAAAGTGCTTTACATAGATTCTTCGAAAGCTGCGCGTTGCACGGTGGAGAACTCGTTATTAAGTGGATTCCACGCATTCCTTCTGTTACGGCAATGCTTTTCTCACGGGGCACTGAACGTCCTTAGAATACAGCGGAGACGCGAGTGAACCGATGTACGACGAGTTGCGCACATATAGGACACTCTTCGTTGCAACCGAACGAATTCCGGTTGTATCCTTCCTCTAAAAAAAATCTGACTCATCGATGATGTAAAGAT